GCCGGCGAAGCAAAACAAGAAATAAAAACGAAAAACCTGAAAAATACAAAAAACGGTAATCTAAACCTACCTCGGGTGGGTTAATTAAAAATGTCGGGAAGGCAATTTTGCTTATATAAACCTAACATAGCCCTAATATATGATGACCCTAACCCTAAAGTTAATTCAATAAAATATATATTATATGAATCTACTCCGCTTTAGACGTCCCCCATATTTGGATAATCAGTTACAGATCAATAAATCAGTTGATCAAATAAGGCTAATTTTCGATTTATTTTTTTTTTTTTGTTAAATTACTTATTTACTAACAAACTTCACCACTGTCACCACCACCAAATCCGAAATAATTGGAAACTGATCACGATCGGGCTCGCAACCCTTCGGTAAATATGGAGGATGCTCCGTATGACTATAAAATTTTGACCAGACCTCGCGAAACGCAAGCGAATTCGATAAGTACTCATTCTGCTGGACAGGAAACGAAGCTATCGGAAATTCACAAAACTTTCGAAGCTGAACTCCAAGCTTATGAAGACCTAAAGATTCGTGAGGAGACTTCAGAGGATTGGATTTTCGATGCAAACAGTGGATACTTTTACAGCAGATCTGCACAAACATATGCACTGTGGGACAGCCAGAATCAAGAATGGATGTACTTTGATAGTAATTCTGCACATGACCCGGAGCAGAGCAAAACCGATGAATCAATGTCTATTCCAAATAAAGAGCATGGCTCTGAAGAAGCCACAGATGGTACACGCGAGGAAGGGCAGTTATCTGATTCGGAGACATGCGGGGTAACTTCTTTACCGGCAATTGATAACATTACTACGAACCTGATCAAAAATACAAAAATATATCTGATGTCGATTCGGTTTCACACCACGTTGGCTAACTCGAAGAACAAAATACACGTATTTTTTCACCTCCACAAGGTTATGTCAAAACTTCAGAAGCACAATATTTTTTTCATCCAGAAAGCAATATATGGTTCGATGTGTATTCTGGTATTTATTCAGCATATGACGAATCTACTCAGACTTATACTCCTGTCGATCCATCATCTATCGTTTATACATCTCCTATTAGTAATGAAGATTCTGCAATAGATCAGGGTGAGCCTGGTAGCGATGCAACTCTCAGGTTAGTGGTTATGGAATCTGGGATTCTCAAATCTGGCCATTTAGTACTAGTTGATGCAAACGGAATTTCGATGGGAAGAGATAGATGGGATGATCGACGACTTCGTTTGGCTGAAATGCCCACTTCAAAACATCATTGTCAAATATATTGTTCTTCATCAGCTACTGCTGATGCCAAATCCGACGACGATGATATGTCAGCTGTCACAACCTTGGATACATTTTTCATTGTTGACAATGGATCACAAAATGGTACATTTGTTAATTCAAAACGATTGTCAGAAAGTAAGATGAGTTCTAAACCTCATCAATTATGTCATTTGGATGAGTTAGTGGTTGGGAGCACCAAGTTTCAGGTACACTTGCATAAACAATGGACCTGTGATGTTTGTACTGTAACTGAAGGAAAGATGATTGACATATCACAAAAGTTTGATGGGAATGCTAGTCATAATAAAATTAAACAAAAAGGTTCAGAAGGAGATATAGGGTTCGATGGCATTAATAATAATAATAATGCAACACAAAAAGAACTTTTGGAATTTCAACGCCGTGAAGAGTTAAATCGATTGAAACGAAAATACATGGGTCAACCAAATGTTAAACATAAACATACAAAATATGTCGATCGGGCAGCAATAAGAAGAGAGATTCATCCTGATAATAGTCCGATAAGAAAAGATTGGGAAGATGTTTCTGGTACAAATTCTGAAATAGAGATAAATGTGCAGACCAAGATTGGGTCTGAAAATAGGGGCAATAAGCTTTTACAAAAAATGGTCATACAATTAGTTGCAAGGATAAAAAATTCTAGCATTTCTTAAAAATATGGCCATGTTTTTTTTTGATTTAATGTACAAATCAACTCAAAAGTTCAAGTTTCATTGAAATAAATCGATGAATCTTTCCTTGGCGACTCTAAAATTTAAATTTAAATTTGAGAATTATTAACGAAAAAAAAGATATAATAATATATATAGTATCCTACCGCCGAGTTGCTTCCTGAAGAGTTTCGGATGAATTTTTTACAGTACTAGCACCAAGTCCTCTAGTT